GATTTGGAGACAAGAAATGTTTGTTTAAGGTCTGTCGGCTGCTTTAAACACAAACAGCTCGGACATCGTGGCAAAATTATCGGGTTGGTTCAGCTCCAAAAGGTGATTGATAGACAAGACAAGTCTCTGACAAATCTATGCAGCAAGCTCGGTACAACAAGCATCGGCAGGTTAAAGTGAAATGAGATGACATTGACGGCTCAAATCAAAGGATCCAGCAAGGTAAATGAAAACATTCAGCTGGCTATAAGGAGGAGACAATTGACTGAAGCTGTTTGCCCATAATGGCGGGGGGGATGCTGTGGCACACGACAAGCATCTCGGAACCTAAGGCCATACTTCCTGCGGACAAGGTTCAAGTTTGTTGCGGGACATCTCCAGGCGAGGAATAACGCCCGAGGTTGAACGGATGGGGTTGAACCAGACCTCAAGAGAGATAGTTTCTAAGCAAAAGGGGTCAAAGCGGACTAGCTCAAGATGATCTCGCTACGCACTGCACTCAACTAGCCAGGAACAAATCAATGCAAGAACATTTAAGGCAATGTAAGACAAGGCAAAACCCTTCAAAATTATCATAATAAATGCGACCATGCAAAATGTATGCAAGTATGGCAAGAGTAAGTGAGGGTCGTTACAATTATATACTTCTTTTAACTTAATAAAAATAAATAAAAGGAGAGGACCAGCATGTTGCGTCTGCTTTGGTCCTTTCAAGAAACTATATGTATGGTCCGTAGCAAATCATAATTTTGTAGACTTCTCAATGTGTCAGAATCACTTTTAAAGACTCATGTTTTGGAGATCAGTGGAAAAGTTTATCAATCAATACTTACTATTGCTCAACTATGCGCTAAAGGAGTAAACTATGACGCATATCAAAGGTGTTCATTATCCTTGATTACTCTATTTGAAGACAATTGGGGTTATTGTCAAATTATTGATTTATAATATTAAACATTTTACTTGCAATACTGCTTTTCATCATTAAGGTTTTATTTCGTTTCTTTTTTTTTTCCTTTTCTTTTTTTTCTTTTTATTAAATTTGGGTATGAATCATTAGTACGGTTTCGTCAATCACTGGTTTTCAATCTAGTTTTGTTTCGAATGGTTTTTTCGGTACTAACTCATGTGCCTCTTAATGAGAAAAGTGTGATATGGTTTATGTAACTGGAACATATACAGATTATATAATATCTACATTCTAAACTACAAATACAGGTACAGTGGCGCAGTTTTTTTTGAGGTTCCGTTGTTTGTATTATTTTTTTTAATTTAAATATAATTAATAAAATAATAAATAAATAAATAAACACAGAAAACACTTGGGTACGATCTTATCTACAATTCTACTACACATCACAAAAATTCCGGACATATTGGACATTATTACAGTAGATTGCAAGAATCCTGGGACCAAAGGCAAAAATGCGAATGCTTGAAGGAAGGGGTGCTTGACAATTTATTTGTGGTGAGTATCATATATGACACATAACATTTAAGTAAATTTTTAATAATTCTAATATAATATTCAATTTTATTACCAACTTATCTCTCCCAACATCTAAAAATTTTAACTTGAGTAACTATGATCTATTTGACGATGATTCGTCAGACAAATTACAATCTTGAGGGTTTAAACTATACGAAGTAAATGCTAAGAGATTGATTTTCCTTAAAATACTCATTAAAATATTTGCTACAAATCAGACGCCCCTGTTCGGTTTTGGAACTGAATATGAATGACCCACATGATGTAAATTCTAACGTCCATATAAGACAACTGTAAAAATTTCATATAGAAACTTTTAAAATTTTATAACATTTTTCTTTTGGATAATACAATCGAAAGGAGAGAGTGAACGGGAACTACGAGAGACAAAGTTAGGAAGTTGCGATAACCATGTAGTCATTATTGTTGAACGCTTTAAATAAAGATCATTCATTCAAAAAGACCCATTAAACCATAGGACTGGTCAACATATCCAACAACCATTCTTGATACACGCCACTTGTCACCCACAGTACATATATTATATCATATATACCATTGAACCATTCATAAAAAATAACATTTAATTCCAACAAACCATAATCTATTAGAGAGAAAAGGAAGAGATGTGTAATATAATACATATGTTAAGATAGTTTTTTATATAAGAATTGCTGGATGAGCACTTGTGTGCAATAAGAATGGTCTTCAATATGAAAAAAAAATAATGACTAGCAAACAAAACAGAAGACGTTCCGGATTGAATAAACAATTAAAACATTAGATTTTACATGTTTAAGTAGATAAACATAGATTATTTTTATAGGATTTCCTCCTCTAATTTCATTAATTTCATGGCTATAATCCACAACATACAACCATTATGAATATAATAAAATCACATAAAATCAACTAACATCTAGCTAAGTATTAGCATTATATCTCATAACCAACACCATTTTGTTATAGATGTAAATATAATAAACTAAATGTAACAAAAAAAAATTTGTGCGTCCAGCATTATAAGATGTAAACGCCCTAAAATAATAACAATAAACCCATCAGATAAGACATGCATTTACATTTAAACTAAACCGCATTCCTTTCATTCATTTAGAATTCCAAGACATAAGTATTACAATGTTAACCTCATAACAAATGCCCTACGGCTTAGCTTTTCCAAGTTAAACACTTGGTTACAACCAAAGAGTTCTAACTCGTTTACAACATTAAGCCCTTGGCTTGAAATTACATGTAATACATCCAGAAGTAAAACGACAAAACTATGCCCGCCACTAGCCTCCCAGCTATGTCCTTGGAGGTGGCATGCTTCCTGCACCTGAAAATGATATTCCCATATAAGGGTGAGCCACAGCCCAGTAGAAATACACTAAACCAACCATGGACAATGACTAAAACATTAGCAATTGAATGTTGGTCAACACTGATACAATCACATAAATTACATATTTATGTCAACGACTTACAAGTCCCAATTACTTTTCATTTTCCTCCTTTTCAACAGATAAGCATGCTAGCTCTTCATCATTCCACAGATATGTATAAAAACTATATCTCACATTCTCAACAGATATGTATAACAACAATATCCAACAGATAAGCATAGCAAGCTGTATCCACATTCTACAACAGATATGTATATCAAACAATATCTACCGATAAGCATACAAGCTGTATTGCCACATTCTACAACAGAATATGTATATCAAATATACACCGATAAGTCATAACAAGCTGTATCCACATTCTACAACAGATATGTATATCAACAATATCCACCGATAAGCATACAAGCTGTATCCACACTTCACAAAGATAAGCATATGAGCTCTATCTTCACTTCTCTCTGACAAAGCATATGAGCTCTGTCTACGGAGTTCATCCCCTATCTCCTCCCAATACCTATCACGGTTATGAGGTACATCCCCTATCTTCCCCTAAACCGCGGAGTAACATCCCCTATTCCCTCCTCTAACACATAACGTATATACACATTGGTTCTATTACAATCACACAAAAACATACAATCAATGTATTCTATCAACTGTCAAGTTCCCATGACACATTCCATTGATTAGTTTCCGGTTTTACTTAATCATCATGCAGTTGTCTACAACAATTCCGACTATCCCCACCGATAGCCAAAGCAAGTTATTTCTTAAACGAAAATAAATGCACAAATGGAATATTCAATCATACATTTCAATTTCCTCATTTCTCACCAGATTAAATTATCCCAAATTAATTAAACAATGTAAATTAGGCCATTTTCCATAATTACCAATTTCAACCCTTAGGTCCCATTTTCATCAATGATTCAACAATCATTCTTTTTTTTATGCTAAACATGCATCTAGGTTTTATTATGAATCTAAAACCCCAACTTTTGTAAATTACACAAAAGCCCCAAACTTTCACAAACTTACCAAACCAGGCCCAACATCTCAAAATAACCAAAATTTAAAAAAGTACAAAACCCATAGAGAGGAGTAGGTATCCCTACCTCAAATTCGGAGTCCCAAAGGAGAAGACGACAAAAACCCCAACGTGCTCCAAAACCCGAGATTTTCAGATTAAAATGAAGCCCTCGACGATCAACAACTTTTTTGTAAAGGCCAAAGGTGAGTAAATCACTCCTACTAGATCAAAACCTAGAGAGAAGGTAGAGTCCTAGAGTGAGAGGCTCAACAATGGTGATTTTGGAAAAGTAAGAGAGAGAAGACGAAGTAAAAAGTGATTTGAAAAGTCACAATTTCGGGACTTAAACCAGTCTCCTCCCGCTCGAGCGTAAACATCGCTGAGCGGCCACTCACAGACTTCCGGCTCGAGCGGCCAAACCCTCCCGCTCGAGCGCAGAATGCACTCGCCCAGCACGTTTGCAGAACCAGGCCCCCGCTTGAGCTCCCAACCCTACGCTCGAGCGGCCACTCAGACAAACCCCTCGAGCGGCCAATTACCACGCTCGAGCGTACAACGCTGCACAGAAAAAATACTGAATGGGTGTGAATCTCCGCTCGAGCGCCAAACCTCCGCTCGAGCGTACAGGCCAAAAATCTGGGCCAACTAGTTTTGGTTTCTAAACTCAACCAACTGTAACAAAACCCGCCCAAACACATCCTAATAACTCAAATACAAGGTAAGAAAGGATGAAAACAAGATAATAAACAACTACCACATCCACGGACACATGTCCGGATCACGGTATAGAACAAGGGTAAACCCAGGATCCGTTATATAAGAATAATGGGAAACAACACATGGCACACAATGATGATAACACATTATATAATCATATGACAAATAATTATAATAAGAATTCACTTCATAGCCAACGTGGATGTTATCACTTCATAGTCCACCTAGAGAAGAGGACATGGTAGATTATAGTTAACTATCTTTGTGAATATTGGGTGAGGGTGATTTTCCATCAAAGCCCAACAGAATGAACATTAAGAGACCTCGTAATAATTTATTTATATGCATATCCAAGACTTTTAAGAACATATAACAAAAGAAAAGTAAAAAAAGTTGTTCAAAGATTAAATCAACAACCCACTGGAGAATGAACAAACATATCTCAACAAGAACCATCCATCAATAATAACTCTACTCACACTGCAGTCTTGTTTTTTTCAGTTAGTCTCTAACCTCCCATCTGCAGATGCAAATGAACCCTTAAATGACCGATTGGCTATTGTCACCGCTGCCAAGTAAAGCTGATGAAGACGTAGCCAGAGCCTGCCACTTCTTGACTGCTTGTGGCAGTGTCATATCAAAGTCGATTCCATAAATGTCATCAGCATCAGGGTCTGATGGTTTCCAAAGCTCGGTGAGAGATGAGAGTACGTTGATGGCGTGACCCATGTCAGGTCTCTGAGATGAAGCCCTTGCGCAGCAGTGTCCAGCCAGCTCAGCAACAGTGCTGACACTGGCAACGGAAAATGCCTAAGACCCCCAGTGGGGGTGCTGGGGGTCGTGCGTGTAGGCCACTGATTGGCCCAAAAAAAAACTGTTTTTTTTTCAGCAAATAGGGGGCCGCCACGTCACAGGGGTCGACCCCACTGGGGGTATGAATCACGGTTGCACTGGCAACCGTTTCTTCATCAAGATCAATTTTTGGGTCAATAGCCTTCCGGAATGTGTCCTTCTTGTTATGCATTCTGCGGAACCATGTGACGAGATGAACACTCTCCTCCTTCTGGGTCTGATCTAGTGCCTTTCTTCCTGTAATCAGCTCCATTAGAATCACTCCGAAGCTGTACACATCACTCTTAGTTGTCACTCGTCCTGTCTCTGTACATTAGTCAAACATTAACATTTTAGTAATCAGTAAGATGAATGTTGAAAACCAAAAACAGAGAAAATGATGTGTAAACCCGAACACCCACCCCTGGGGAGTTTTATAGTAATTATAAATCATTATATGGGCACTTTCAATTCAACGAGACATAGTCATCAATTGTATGTGATACAATAATGAAACAAACCACACAATGATCTTACTCCAACAATATGAAGATTTATTGAAAATGTACAAACTACAACAGATACATTTCAAGTAAAGCAAAATAAATGGGTTCATTCAACTTGGTAAACATACATCATACACCATGTGCGTATTGGGTTTCAAATAAACCCAAGATCAGCATGTCAAACAAGGGGTCAATGTGAAGGCTCTGTTTGTTTCAATGTAAAATATTTTGCATGGAATACCATGTTTCATGTACAACTTTTTACTTGGAAAACAATTTCATTATCTCATTTTCTGATGTTTTGCAGCGAACTTCCAAACAAATTTCAGGCAAGGTGAAAGCAAAATATATTGCAAGGTTTTGTCCAAATGATGGAGAATTGGTCAGCACCTTATAGAAGTTTTCCATACGCTAGAGTCTATATACACAGGTCAGGTCTTGTTTTAGGGGCGAGTATGTTGTATTTTCCTGTAAGTGGTGAGAGCATGGAACGTACACTAACTTATGGAAATCAGATTCGCAAGTCAATTTCCTTTGCGAAAATATATTTTACCATCCTTTTTTTTTTGTGCAACCAAACACCAAAACTTCTAAAAAAAATTTATTCTCAAACAAAAGGATCCTCAAAGTGGTTAAAACCGAAAACCTTGTAGACTGACATACACATAAAGACAATGATTGCCATTCATGCTTATGCAGTGGCTAATAATAGCTGGAAATCATGTTGAAATGAATACTTTAATAACACCAACCAAAATCATGTTGAAATGAATACTTTAATAACACCAACCATGAAAATGAGCGAAACTGTCTAATTAGCGGTGATGCTATGGTACATTTAGGTGTACCATACATTTAGTTATGA